TATCATGTCATTGTTATGAGGTTAATGAATTATTGAATGAAAATTTGGTTGTATCGTCTTCTTACTCTTCTTGCGTGGAGAGCTAGAGAGAAGTGAGAGAGAGAGCCCAAGGTGAGGGCCAAAAGCAACACCCACAGTCATTGGAGAGTCCGTGACTCGTGGCTTATCTCTCATTCCGCTCTTTTCGTTTTCCCCCAACAACCCGCCGGCCAAAGCTCCCCAACCGCCGCCACTTCACCCCCTATTGTCTCGCCGGTGAACCCCCTCCTTTCACGACCCCCCTCTCTTCACCCATCCTCTACAACGGCTAATTTCGAAATTCGAAATTTGAATTTCGAAACTTTCCAAATTTGGAACTTCCAAATTAGGTAAGCTTTAACTCCGATCATGACGAAATTTCCAAATTCAAGGATTTCAATTAATCCTCGCCTTCAATTGTCATGAGCGATTTGGAAAACCAACCCTTGTCCTCACACAAAATATTTTCCCCCATTGGATTCGCCGTGCCACCTTGGATGGGCCCCCTTCATGGCTCCACTTAATGCATTTAATTACCCTATAATTTGAGATCAATTTCCATAGAAATTCTCCTCCCATATATTGTTTAAAATCATGAAATTTCATTGAATTCTAAATACTCCCTCCCCCTCTATTTAGCGGCGGGCGCTTCCTCATTAAATGGGCCCCATAGAATGCCCATAATTACCCTTTAATTCCTTGCTAATTTGGAACCAATTTCAAATGTCTTCCCTCCAATTCACACAAATTCTGAAAATTAATTTCAGATTGTGTAACTCCCTCTCTCCCTTGCTTTAACCTAATTCCCCTTCTCCCATCCACCGCCCCACACCTCCCCTGTCTTTGGCCGACCGCCCCTCTCACTCCTCCGTGGGAAATTCAGCAAGAGGAAGAGACGACGGCACCTTCTCTCCTAATTCTCTTCAATGTTTGAATGGCGGACTCCGAGCTTGAGTGGGTCTAGTGTTCACGCCGCGGAGCATCACGGTCACCTTGCTTCGACGTAGGATTTGAAGACGAAACCACGTAGAAGAGTACTTGGAAAGAGTCGTACCAATCCTTGCGAGCATCTACGACCGGAAATTTTGCACACACTTTGAGTCTCGAAAGTCCAGCATACACGCCCTCCGCCGTCATCGTCGACTCTCCATGGCTCAAGACCCTTTGGCCTGATCACAACCTTCCTCGTGGCCATTCGTATGGTGTGCTTAAAGTCTTCTCCCGCAAAGCCTAGTATAGTTGAGTGAGTATTTCCCAAGGTGAACTTTTCGTTATTAAAATGTCGGATTGTTGTAATAGCTTTTAGTTTGCTACTATTTTTGATGTCTGAAATGTTTTGGCTAATCTACATACTTCTTCGCCTTTAAGCTAGTTGAATAACTACGAAATTTTATATGATTTCTTGCTTCGCCATAAGTTATTATGTTGTAATTTCTTTGCCAAACTCATTTTTAATTTCATTTCTTACAAAGCTCCTTGCATTTGGTATTACATCAGGTTTGCTAACTTAAGCCATAAAAAAAATAATAATAAAAATAAAAAAAACAAAGATCTTTAGTCGCAGCACTTGAAAAACTCGTGAGATATATCCTCATGACAATTAGATCTTATAGTTTCATAGAGGCGGTGGGAGAACGAATAAATTGCCAAAATTTTGGCTTAATATGAGGAAACTAATCTTTTTGTGATTTATTTTGGTTCGAACAACATATTTAGTGGAAATAATTTGCTACTTCTAGTAGCTTTCTGCTTGAAGATTAATTTTTGGGAGATTATCTTTGCGCGGCACCTACTTTCATGTAACATTGGATTTTGGCTTAGGCATTGCAGTACTTCAATCCATCATTAGTAAATTTGTGGCATAGTTGTTTACCACAGCCTTTGCCATCGTACATCTCGTTAATCTTGAAACATCATTCGTCTTATTGTGCTCTGATGTTCTTTGGCAACTCCCACCTTAAAAAAACTTTATCCCATATTGTTCGTTAAATATTACTAGCATTTGAGTTCATAATTACTCTTATTGTGTTGATTATTTGGTGCCATGTACAAGGTGGCATCCTTACTTCCTCATATTATCAACATAATATTATTGATATCTTCCAAGTATTAATATAGAAGATAAAGAAATAACTCCGACTAGCTACCACCCACTTGAGATAAGAATTTTGTTTTTTTCATGAGAGGAATTCTTCATATATTATGAAGTTCTCATTTAGTTATATTAATAGTCTTAAGTTGAAAAAGGGACCAAAATGGTTCCTTAGTCCAAATTATATAAATTTTTTTTATTTAGTCATTGGACTTGACCTTAAAAGAAAAGTTCATGTAGTCACTTCCCACACAACCACCTATCGCACTCCATATCTTGCGCGAACCCCACCCCCACCCCCCCCCCCCCCTCACCCCCACCCCCCTTTCTTCTCCCCAAGCTGTGAGTCACAACTCTCCCTCAACACATAAATCTAATCTATAAGTCAAAGCTCTCCTGCTTGGTGTCACAGCTCTCCCTCTCATCTTCTTCTCTCTAGGCTTATGCAAACTAGCCACCGCCTTGATATTGAGTTGTCGCGGATGCAAACGTAATCCTCTTGCCGCTACCTCAACCTCTGCTAGCCAACCCCTTCTCTTCCTCCGTAGTTGCATGACCACCTGCACCATGACTACCTCGCCACGCCGCTTCAGTTGCTCTTACCGTACTTTGGCATTACCACTGGCCTCTCCTCTCGTTTTTCTTCTCTTCTTTCTTCCTTTTTCCCTTCTCTAACTTTCTACCCCTCTCTCATCATCTTTTTGATGTAGGACTACATGCAAAAATCGGAAACTTGCACAAAATATTTTGAGAACAATTTCAGATTTTCATTATTCGTGATTAAAACAACAAAGTAAAACTCAAAGATGGTCAATTCCGTTTAGGCTAAGCTACGCAAGAGACTAAGCACAATCAAAACACTTAGGAAAATTAAAACATTGCATGCGGAGTAGTTTCCAACTTAACCAAGACATAACAATGAGATCTAAGAGCAAAGAAGTAACAAACCTACGCTTGCTAATGGATGGCGACTAGTAGACACAATCTCTTACTTGAACAAACTTTCAACAAAGTAATTAGAATTTGAAAGTAAGTGAGTCAAGGAAGAAGATCACCTTCTCGGAGAGATGTCGTGATTCACCACGTGCCTTTCGTTAGTCCTCTTCAACAATTGCTATGAGAGGAAGAAATTTCTAGGGACCCGTCAAAGATTGGAATCACGCCGACAACGGAGATTTGAGAAGATCCACTACGCCTTAACTGTCGGATGCGAAGTAGGAATCAAACGCCGGAGAGGCCATGCATCATTATCATGTAAAGAGAGAAAGACCTAGAGAGGGAGAGGGAGAGAGATGGCGGTGGGAGAGAGGAAGAGGCTAGGGCTAGGAGAGAACTAAATGGGATGAAGAAAATATGTTATAATCTCCATACCAAAATTATTCTCAGATTTTGAGTAGAAGTGGAGGGAAAAATTCTGAAATTTGAATTTCAAAGACATGCAATTAGGAGCTTTAATGAGGCATTAAAGAGGGGCCATCAAGAGGGGGGCCGGCGGCTTGGTGAAGGGGAGAGGAGGTTTGGGGAGAGGGTAATGGGTTACGTAATTAGCTCCAACAAATTAATGAAGAAAAAATTCAAATCCGTTTCAATTTAAATTTGAAATTGAAACCTCATTGAAACTTTTCTAATTTGGCACCGGACAAATTTGGAAACTTTTACTCATCAAAATTTTCAAATTTCGAATTTGAAAATACATGAGGTGGCGATAAAGGAGCGGGCAATTAACGGGAGTGGAATGGTGGATGAAGTGGAGGCCGGCGGTTAATGGGATGGTCGGCGGGATGAATGTTAGGGGGCGGTTTTGGGGTGATTGAGCTTGGATGGTGTTGACCTATATACGGGAGCCAAAAAGAAAACAAAAATGTTTCTCTCGTACCTGTTCGGCGCCGAACTCCGCACGTCGTAGCCGCTGAAATCCCGTAAATCTAGCGATCGCTTCATTTCTCCACGACCTCGCACGACCTTTGTGTCGTTAAAATGAAAAAGAAAAAAAGAGGCAGAGACCTTTCCTCTCTCCCGATTCTCCCTCTCTCTTCTCTGTTTGACGCCGCCCCTACCAATTGGATCGGACGTTACGACACCCGTTCGGAAGCAAAGAACGGGAGTTCGCTGGCTGTTGAAGATAACTGTCTACCTTTCGCGCGTCTTCTCCGGTTCCTTCGTTGGTGTCCGACCTCGCTCCTTCGACGATACCTCCTGTAGAACCGGAAGTTACAACATTTTGGTCGGAAGTGAGAACAGGAGCTTGCGAGCTGTGTAGGAAACCTTTCTCCCACACGCGTGCTTCTACCCAACATCACACCGCCGTCATCCCCCCACTATTCTAAATTTCACCATCTATGGGCTCCGAAAATCGCCACCCGCCCCCCGCCGCGCGATTTCTTTTTTTTAAATTTGAGCGAGAGGAGTTTTTTTTAAATGAATAAGTATCCGAAGTAAATTTTTGGAAGGCCGATGGTTTGTAGATATAGACACTAAGATTTCGCCTCATTTTGTGAGGACTATTAAATGATCTGAGTTCTGTATTCCTATAGGCGCAAGCCCCCTAATAGTTAATACCCCCTACCGATCACGAAGAGAGAATCTTTATATATATGTTAATCAGATTCGTATAGACAATACGTGTATCGGCATATAGTAGCGCATGAGTTTTGGGTTTTGAAATATGTTTGAAAATTGCAAGAGTTGAGGTTGTTGAAAGATTTGGAGATTT